TAGTCCGACCCCCTGCCATGGCAGGAAAGAGTACTGGGGTCAAACGACCCCAGCAAGGTGTTCATCTAACCTCTTCTTAAAAACCCCCAGGGTAGGAGCCTGCACCACCTCCCTTGGAAGTTGGTTCCAGACCCTAGCCGCCCTGACCATCTTCAGAAGTAAAATAAAAGGCTGTTAAAAAGAAAAGGGTGATCAATTGTTCCCTGGGTCCACAGGGGACAGGGCAAGTCGTAATAGTTTTAAACTCTAAGAAATGACATGTCAGATACCAGGAGGCACTTTCTGACTACGAGGATTATTGAAACACCGACATGGACTACGCAGAGAGGATGTGGAACGTCTGCTTCTAAGTTTTTAAGTGGAGGCTGAACAACTGTTTGCCTGGGATGGCTTAGAAAAAGGGTGACCCTGCCTTGAGCAGGTGATAGGACTAGTGTGGCAGTGACTTAGTCATGTCTCTTGACAACACATTGTGTCTGCTTGAAAGAGTGCTTGCTGAGGCATCCTGTGCCAGCTAAACCGGCTTTCTGAAGGTTAAACCTGGTTTTCTGCTGCTTATCTATGTATTGCAACACGGTCACAGCTAGAAGAGAGAATGTAAAAGGAAGCCGTTGTGATTAAGCAGTTCCTGTATTTTGTTAATGCATTTTGCCATAGCTTAAAGCCAGCTTCCTTAGCGACGGCACAGCTAAAATTAATCATAAAAGGAAAATGCAAAGGCTTGTATTGCTGTTGGTCAGTCATAAGGAAAGTTTGTAGTATAGAACTATAATTGGCTGCAAGCCAACAGGTAGCTCAAAAAAATTATAAATTTGCTGGCGGAAGTCGGATGAAGGAAAGCGGTGTGGTAAAGGAAGCTATCATTGTGAAAGACAAACTGCAGACCTGAATTCAGCAGGGCAGTGGGTCCTGAGAAGCCCAAAGACTGAATATCAGGGTGCTTTCCCAGTACTCCTTTGGACAGCATAGATTGGGGACGCCTGACTTCGCTGGATTTCAAGAGGCTTGTCATATACCAGGCATAAAAAGGGACTGCCGATAAGTTGCCGACTTGGAGATTTACTCTCTGTCTTTGTTGCGTTATTAAGCTTTGCGTAATTACGTGTTTGTTAGATCAGTAAACCTTTCTCACCTTTTTACCCCGACCACTCTCTCAATCCTGAACAAACCCACTGCAGGCAGCTGGAACAGACCAGAACATCTCTCACTGTTGCTGCTGGGCCTTTTTTTTTTTCCTTCCAGACCCACCTCTAAAGGAAAAGTGTCCTCAGTCAGAAGAAGCAGTCAGTGGTCCTGCAAGAGTCTCACCTGCACAACGAGCACTGTTAGACTTCTGCCAATGGGCTCGCCTTCTCTCCTCCTCACTTTGCGGCAGGCAGGGCACGAGGAAGTCTCGATTTCATAGCAGCAGAATGGAAGCAGGCAGGAAGCGCGCTTCTTTTAGTTGCATTCATCAACCAAACCCTGCTGATATGCTGCTTGGGCTCTGCATGGAGATCAACAATGTGTTTCAGATCAACCATGGCATCTTTATATTAGGGCTGTGTGAAGCTTCAGTCCCTGATTTGATCTGGCGGAGATTCAGCCTGATTCGGTGGCCAAATCTCTGAATTTGAATCAAATCAGAGGACCCTTTAATCTCTCCAAATTAAATTGGAACCCTCCAAATCGATTCGGAGAGATTTGGTGATTTGGACATAGACACAGCTTTAAATGTTTTTTCTACGTACCTCTAGGTAGCAGGTGGCTTGTGAATGCTGCGATGGTGGGGCTCATGGAGTGTCCCACAGGAGCGCGGTGGGGTCCCCAGTGTGCTCCCCGGCAGACTCAGAAGTGGATTGGAAGTACTTCCAATCCACATCTGGATTCGCCCCCCCACACTCCCGTGGGCCACCTCCAGCCCCAGCATCGCAGCATTCACAAGCCACGCTGGTACCTTGAGGTATGTAAAAAAGACATTTAAAGCTGAGTCTATGTCCGAATCACTGATTCTCCAAATCAGCATCAAATCTTTAGATTTGGATTCAGCCGAATTGAATTGGGGATAGTGATCCGAATCAACAAATTGAATCACTGTCCCCGATTTGGGCCGAATCCAAATCAAATAGGGCCTGCTTTGCACACCCCTGCTGTATATCTGTTCATGCCCATTTTGCTATGACCACTGACCGTCATCCTAACCATAAATCTCACTGGGACCTTGGTCTGTTGTATCCACCTGTTTTCTCTTATGTCCAAATAAAATATGCAGTCCCTTCCCGTGTTGGGGCTTAAAGCCCACTTTATGGGAATAGGAGGCTCTTCCCTAGCTTGCTCCTGCGGCCATATGGCTGAGGGCAGGCGAAACTGGGGAGCATCTGAACCCCAAGCCTCCGGACTTGGGCCTGCACATAGGATGTCCACCAAAAGACTTTGGAAATATCTGAAGCCCTGGGCACGGGGTGGAGGATGTTTGCCGGTTGTAGGGCCACTTTTGGTTCTGGACCGACTCATGGATTTGGACTTGATTTGGCTGATTTGGCTTGGAACATGAAAAATTTCTTATAAAAAACCCAACCTCATCTTTTCAGGATATTTGTGCAGTGACCAACACAGTGGGATTCTGGGGCCTGCAAGGGATGTCACAGTAAAACAACAGCAACTGTGGCAAGGAGCACAATGAACCATTGCATAACTTCAGAGCGGCAAACACTAGGGTTTTAGCTGTGCCCATTGTAACCATTTCTATCTATTCATTTTCCATGTCTCACAGTTTGTTTGGAGCAACTTGGAACAAGGGTGCAACTGGGCTAGTAATGAAGTCCATAACATTTTGTATGCATGGCTCTATTCACATTTTCCAGCGACATATCACATTTCAGTCCAGCCAAAATAGTGAAGTTGCTGACTATAAGTTAAACTACAACTTCTGCATTCGTGTACGCGTCTCATATGGTGTCCCAAAGAGAACAAGCATGTGACCTTTATATGTTCAAAATGCTCATAAAAAAAATTATCAAACCATCCACAAATTACAACAGTCTCTCCAGGGAATAAACACTGCTTCATGTGGGAAGAAAAATGTTTCTGAACTGGCAGCACTCATTCTCAAGTTGCCTCATTCTGCTAGAAAGAAAAGAAACTGATAGTCTGAAAAACAGACCCTGGACTCATCTGAAAAGGGAGTGGAGGTACGCGTGAGAGGGGGCAATGGGCGTGATGCTTTCACTGGAGGACATATAGGAAATCGGGTCAAATTCCATACAAAGGGGCATCAGCCTCATGATGCCTAATTGGTATCACCCCTGTGACAGAGAATAACTTTAAAGCAGCTTAAACAGCCCGTGGAGGATTTTGCAAGTGGCACAGAACTGCTGAAAAGGGCCACTAGAAGTCACTGGACCAGGGAAGTATAACGGGAGGAAAGGACGTGACAAGGGGACCCAAGTCCTACCGATTCCTAAGTGCTCTCGGCAACCAGCTTAGCCTACAGACACCCGGAGATTGCTTTAATTTACTCTGGTGAAGAGGCCAGTACAGACACAGCCCAGAACCGGAGCTGCCAGAGCGACTTTCATCCGCCCACGCCCAGCACAACTCTTCAGGCACCAAGGGTCTGCCCCCGATCCTCTGCGGGAATGGCAACCGCTCCCACCTTTCCCCTGTACGAACACAGGAAATCCAACAAATGAAATGAAATACACTTGGCCCTCTTCACAGATGGTGTTACACAATATAGCTTCATGGACTCGGCGACTCCTATGCCGAGTTATGCCATGTGAAAAACTAGCCCAACAGATGTCTAAAACAATGCAATGATTCAAACAAAACCCCACCGTGAGCTCTGGAAGGGAGCTGCAGCCCAACAAGATTGGGCCCAGTGCCCTAAATCCTATAAAAGATTACACACTGATAAGTATGAAACTATGAAGCTATACTTGCTGCATTAGCAATCGAGCTGCATTTACCAAATGAATGAGTAAATCCAGATTAGACTCCCTCACTTCATCCTGTATCTATCTGGTAGTAGGGCTTGGGGGTTTTGTTTACAGCAGAATTGGTTTGCAGTACTGTCAAGGTGTGCAAGAAACTTAGCCTTGTAGCCAGACGTGTAGCCTTAAGGTGGGTTTTGCTTTTATGTGCTGCCCATAAAACCAAGGTAACTGCTACCAGAGGATGGCTGATGTGCAAGCAGAGTGTGCAACGTGGCAACTGGGATGAATCTGGAAGACCCCCACTGCCTTTGATCTTGCATGGTGTTTTGCACTCCTGTGGTGGTCTCCCTGCAAACACATGCGTTTTTACATAGGATTTTAACTCTGCATCGTTCTCCTAAGTGGAGAAAGTAGATAGGGAGTTTTGAACTAGTCGACCAACTAGCTGAGGGCCAACTTGATATCCTGCAGCTGGGACTGCCCTTGACTAGCTACATCAGGGTTAAAAACAACACAGCTTTGCCTCATGTAGGCTTTTACATCAAAATGGGTGTTTTCAAGCAGGTGAAGGGGCGGGGGTACCCCTCTTATGCAATGAAAGAAGTGGAGAGAATTGACCCCCCCCCCCGACTGTCATCAGTAGGAACGGAGGACGCCCAGTGCCTTGTAGGACTGCGCTTGAGAGATGTACCCATATTTATGAATGTGTCACTTCAGACTGATCTCAGATATACAAGGAGTCAACACACTCTCAGCATAACCCTTCCCAGAGCCCATATATGCTCAGCACAACCCTGGAATATGCTCATTTATCTGGTGTGATTTATAGCAAGATTTGTCCCTTAGAACAACCTGGAGGCCCGGAAAAGTGCTCAAAACGCGAGACCTCTGCTCCCCCATATATTTCCTGTAGGATCTCACACAAGTCACTTGGGGTGACTCCTTGAAAACCACCAGGGCAGAAAAATGCCAGCAACAGAACTGCTCTTTGTCCCCTCGCAGGGCTATGAGCTGATGAAAGCGAGAACAGGATCTCCAAGGGGAATGCTTTTGGTGAGAGATGAGAGGACACCCCTCCGGCAGAGCCCCACCGAGACGAGCAGGTCTTGCACCGCAGGAGATGCGGTTCTTGACTTCATAACACAGCCCCGACTGCCTGCACGAGACGGATCCACGGAGGCTCGAGACCAGGTTTTAATTTGCTTCTTCAAGTCCCTCAAAGTAGTTGTGTTTCACACCTTCAGCTGCCGGTACTACTGCTGCTAGCCATCAGAAGGAGCCATATCATTTCAAAAAGGGGATGCCTTTCAGTGAATAATACGTTTGAGTTGTGTGCACGCACGCACAACACAATTGTGCGCATGCACGTACATACACAATTGAGAGAGCCAGAATTTGGCCCGTTACTTGAAACTCTTGGCAGCTAACTTTTTGGTAGCTAAACCCTGGACATATATTTTCCTGATATGGATATAGTATTTTTAGCAGCGTTTACCCCCCAGCCTCCCTGGAAAGGGTATTTTAATAAAATGGAAAAAGCAGGGAGGCAAAATGAGAGCTGTGTTATGTTCAGCGATATCTCACATTACATCTGCCACAAACACTATGAGCATGACGGGCCAACCCCCCCACCAAAACCAAAAGAAAAAAGTACTGACCTCAAGATGTTTTACTGGGTTTTGCCACTGGGCTATTAGAAACATACAACCAAGTCAAACTAGATATTTTCAGCCCCCCCAATCTTTTCTATTTAAATACTGCCAATAGTTCTTCTCTCTGATGGCTTTTCTTAACGGAAACACAGCTATGCTCAAACTGCAGAGACCTGCTTCGGCTGGAGCTTATCTGGAGTTGACTCTGTAGGAATACACCAACTGCATCCTTTAAAAGTGGAGCTCCCTCAGGGTTTTATGAAGGAAAGCAAGACCATCTTTGCAAAGGTAAATCATAATGGTCTGAAAAGTCTAAAAACATGTAGTCTGAATTACTGATCCAAAGAAACCTCCTTAACATTACCATAATAATCATGCACATGGGATTTTTGGGAAAGGAAAAAAAATTCATCCCTCAAGTACAATGATTTATTAAGAGAGCCTTGGCTTATGTTTTAAAAAGCATTTGAAGACAATACATCACTAAAGATTGTGCACTTGAAAATGGGCTGCTTAATGTTCTTCAGACAGGGCTCGAGTAGTTTTTACGGAAATATTTTGTAGGTCTGACTATACAACACTTTTGTTATCCACAACCTCCCCGCATAGCTCACAACTGGCTGACTTTTCAAAACCACATGGAGCCAAAGCTGGAGTGTAACACCCATATTTTCTTTAATAAAGGAATTCGGTTTCTTTAGGGAATTCAGTCACCGTTGCTTGCAATAGCAACCTAATAAAACAATTACGCTGATGTCTGTAAATGAGTCTCGCTAGCAAGAGAAATCCCTTGATCAAAGCAGGCCATTGCACACTTTCGAACTAGAGATCTTTAAACTTAAATCTGAGAGCCGGCAGCCCTCCATCCCCCAAACATGCAGAAACAATGCAATAATCTAGAGTGAAGGCTGCTAGCAGATTATGCAGGCACCCCGGCGCCACAAGAATTCAAGTTGAGACCAGGGCTTGTTTAAACAGTCATGATGCTCTAAACTACAGATGTGTATGAAGATGGTCTTAAAAAGCCCTGCGGCATAGAAAGGGCAGAGGTGGTAGTAGTGGTGCAAGCTGGGGATCACATGCTTTCCCAAGATACGGTTTCCTGCCAAACCGGTCCGCTTGTGAGCAGCTTTCTGTACACAAACAGCACCCGGTCCACCTGGACTCGCCAGAGGAGATCCACCCTGGGCTAAGCCCCTGGCAGACACCAAGCCCCAGCATCAAATGCCAATCATTAGGAAGTTCTCAGGCTTTGAGCCCAGCTCTGCAAACTATTGTTAACTATATTTCAGGCCGAAAGTCCTACCCTCATAGCTGTGGCGCCGACTGGCAAGGAGCAGCCCGAGCGGCAGGGTGCTCTGGGACGCTGCTTGCAATCCCAGCTCTGCAGCAAGCAAAGGGGGGGCTGGCAACTACGTCCTTCCCAGCTGGGGGCTCTGTACCTGCTGCAACATCTCCTGCGCTTTGGGGGAAAGCTCCCTCTCTCCCTCCTGCAAGGCATGTCCCAAGCCTGCCGCCCGATGAGCATGCCAGCCCAGGTCCCCAGGCACCTGGGGTGCTGCAGAGGCCTGTCACTACCCCCCAGCAACAGGGAGCATTGGGAGAGCTCAGAAAGAGCCTCCTGGCCCCTGGGCATGTCCGCCCCGCGTGGAACGGAGGAGCTGGGTCTTGAGCAGCGACCACTGATCCCGTGCAGAGCCGAGGGCTGGGTGTCAAACGCCGTTCTCAATGGGCGTGAGCAGGGCCTCCCTGCCCCTCCCGCCCCCTAGACACATGCGTGTGCACACACGTCCCTGCAGCTGCAGGTCCTCACACAGCAAAGGGGAAATGCCAACCAAACCTCGTCTATCAAACCAGCATGAGCCCTTCATGGGGTTTTCAAACCAGCCGCGCCGCTGGCAAGGGCAGCACCGGCTTTCCGTGGAAAACCGTGAGGATGCATCAGGACGCCTGAAGCTCTGACACCCTGAGGGCCATCAGGCATGGCCCTGCGGTGCCTCGCATGAACCTCCGGTCACCTCTCCGCTCACCTGCCACCACGCACCAGTGCTCCTCGGCCGCAGCTGTCGGAGGTCGGGAGACTCTTCTGACCTACAAGAGGAGCAAGAGGGCCAGGAGCTGCAGCTCTCCTGCCTGCCATCCCCCCGGCGGAAGGGGGACGGGGACAAGGGCACTGGAGCGATGTGTCATCCTGGGGCAGGCACCTCTGCTGCAGCCCCACACCTCCCCCTATGCCCTTCTCCCCAGCACCCACCCCAGGACTCACCCTTGCCGTCTTGCATCCATCCTTCCTCCTCCACTTGTCAGCTGCCTGCCTCTGCCTCCCGCCACCCTGCCTCTGCAAGGGGCCCCTCGGGGCGGAGAAATGAACTCCCCTCCACCCCCTGCACAGAGCTGCTGCCTCCACCCGCCTTCCCCCAGGAGCCCACAGGTCTCTGGCCCTGTCCTGCAGGCTGGGCCTGCTCCCACAGGGGTCCTGTCCTATTTGGTGCATTTCCCTCACCAAGGGAGCCCCAGGGAGGAGGTACGCAGCCCTTCCTTGCATGGTCCCTGCCTTTGGGGTGGGTCTGTCCCCAGATGTCTCTGGTGGGGCCCCAGGCTGGGCCTGCAGATTGCGGGCAAGGAAGTTTGCGGTCCCCTGAAGCAGGAAGATGAGGGTTGGGGCTCTCAGAAACTTTTGGGGGAGGGTGTTGGTGCTGGATGTTCCCAGAAGTCACCGCGGACATGCGCAGGGGCGCAGAGCGGAGGGGAGGGCAGCAGGCTGAAGACGAGGGAGGCTGGGAGCGTTGTAGGGAGAGCGAACAGAGGAGGGGGTGTCAGTGCATCGGTGGCTGGGTGTAGGACACAGCAGAGAGATAGGAGAGTAGACGGTAAGAGTGGGATGGTACTGGTCAGCACGAAAAGCAGTAATCCCAGCTGCAAAGATTTCCTCCTATGCTAGGGTTTGGGTTTTTTGGGTGGGGGGAGGCATTGCTAATCCAAGAGGCCTTTAAAGCAGGTGTAAGTAATTAATGGC